AGCTATCCTAGTTCTGCCTCTCAGCTGTAAGGCTGTCAGATCTGTGTGTATTATTGGTAGAGCTAGGTCTGTCTTCCACTGTCTCTCTATCATTTGCACCATTGTCCTTAAAAAGAACACATCCGATGGCCTTGCCGGGCTGTATCTTCTCAGTATACCTCCCTGTCCTTTTTTGGAAGATTTATGATAAACCTTAAACCCTGTTCGCCCTTAGCAGTCTTCTCCTTCACCCTTTCCTTGATTTGCTGTTATCCCCTAATCCAGTATGCTCGCCCCCGCCTTCCGGTTTCTGCTAAGACCCTAGATCCTAAGCCCTGGTGTACGCTATAATGTAATGTTGCCCCAAATTCCCCTTTTCCTCTCTGGCAGGCCTTCTCTGTCGGTCTGCCCATACCGCTGCCCAACGAACCACCCCTGTGTCCTTGTCCTCTTGTTTCTGCCCCTCCGACCTTTCTGTCCCCCCGCTGTCCTGCGAACCCTCCGTCTGTCCTTGCCCTCTCCTTTCTGCACTTCGATCACTCTTCACACTTACCTGAAAAGCTTCTTCTCCCATGGTTCCCCGAACCCTAGCCGTTGATGTAGTCCATTTATTAGTCTTGATTGTGAGCCTTCAAATCCTGCGGCTTGAGTTGTCGCTTCTGGCCTTGTCCTCCCCACCTGATCTTTTTCCCCCGAACTTCGTCCTTTGTCATCTTCCCAGTTATTCCTGTTTACCCCCTCACTCTAGAGCTTGCTAACTTGCCGATATCTTCCTCTCTTTCCTTTAGTCCTACCCCCTTCCTGTTCCCTGATATCCTCCTCCCTCCTCTCTCCATTTGAAGCGAAGCTGTGCGCCTCTGGGCTCTGCTACTTTCCCCTGACCCAACGTGTTCTGTTTAAATTTTTTGATTATTTCCTCTTCTTGTCCTGGTTGTTGTTTTGCTTGCTGTCTCACCCTTTTCCACTGCGCGTTGAGATGTGTGTCCACTGTGTTGAGAAGCCGCTCCCTGGCTTCCTCCCTATGAATTAGTGTTCCTTCCATAGTGGCCTGACATCTCCTCTTCCAAATGGACCACAGTCCATATTCTCTCAGCCGTTGAAAGATATGTCTCTGGTAGGGTTGCCACCCTTTGGGAACCCCAACCCCCAAAAGCATGGTGATCCTTGACTCTGGGAAAGCTATCGTCACTACCTGTTTCCAAATCCCCCTGACTTGTTCCCACATTTCCTCCGCCTCCTTACATTCCAGCAGACAATGCACCAATGTTTCCGGGAGCCCTTCTTGGCACACTCTGCAAAGCTCCGCTTCCTCGTTTCTCTGGTTGTGACTTCTTCTTTCGTTGAGCCACACGTTCACTGGTAGTGCCACGTGCGCTATTAGCCATTGCATACTTCTAACCTGACCCAGTCTAATAGATAGGATGTTTGACCACGGTATATCAGGCATTTGGCTCCTGGGGACCCCTACTTTCTTCTCCCAGCGTTTGGGCAGAGAGAGTCCCATGGATCTGGTTCTGTTCCTCAGTCTATACCCCATTTTTTGGGTATATTGGAGGATATTGATTCTTCTTGCTACTCTTGATTGCTCATCTCTAATATTCCTGGCCCATTCACCAGGGTCAACCTCCAGGTCCTCGATTGGTACTGTTGAACTGTATATTGTATACTCGTCCATCTCTATCACCCTTACCTTCTGTAACCCTGTTTGAGAATATACAGTGGTGCTTTGGATGTCTTGTCCAGTTGGGACGTGGTATTGCTCGGCTGAATTATGTCATATTTGTCAGCTACTAGCCATTCATTCCTATCTTTGTCTGTGTCCCACACCCTGAAGACCTCTCTAGGTTCTGGATCGTCTTCCCATGTGGCCCAATCTCCCTCTCGCCATTGCTTTCCCTCTCTCAGCAAGAGTACACAGGTTGGGGGTATGGAGTCTGTGACTATTCTCAGATTATCATGAAGGTTGTGACACCCCTTCAATGCTCTCCTCAGCTCCTCTGCTGTTTTCCACCGGTTGTTGTCGTCATCCCAAATATGTTTGATCTGCCATACTCCGTGTTCCAACCATCTGCCCCATCTCGAATCCTTACTGGTTAATGTTAGAGGCTTTCCGCCGTCGTCCTTAATGCTTATGTTGCAGAATATTGGTTGTCTTAATACTTCCTCCCTTGTAGTAGGCTCTCTGACCCTCGCTGGGAAGACCTCCTTCCACAACTGAATTAGTTGTAGCCAATAAGACGGGTTTCTAGCCCTCCCTCCTTGTACATCCCTGTTCTCGTTCCTATAGCCCACTTTAGCCCAGTTGCTACACATGATCCAGAACAGTCCCGTCATGTTGCTCGGTGTTTTGTACTTGGCTATCTGCCTGATCCTTTCCAATACTAACGATGTCCATGATAACCTAGGTTGTGAGATTAGTTTGACCACCCATTTTGTTTGCAAGGCCTTCAACTGTAGACTTGGGTCTAGGATGCCTAGGCCCCCTTGACCCTTGGCTCTAGTTACCATTTTCCATGCCACCTTAGTTATGAAATGTTCCGTGTTGTGCTTCGCTGTCCACAAATAGGCTGCTGCCTTTCTCCGAAGCTGGGTCGACGTGGCCTTGGGGGGAGTCCAAATAGACTCCGCATACCACATCATGGAAAGGATTGATGCGTTCAAAATCAGTGCTCTTCCGTATATTGAAGTGTACACTGTCGACCAAGCCCCGAACTTTGCTAACATCTTGGCCATTATGTCTGCCGCCATAGACTGGTGCGCCCCCTCTTCTGTTATTTTGATCCCTAGGTATCGGAGCGGTTGTTGTGGTGACATCCATTGGAACCCCTCCGGGTTTGTGACCGGTATCTGGATCTCTTGATCTAGCTCTGCTAGCCACCACCCCACTGTTTTGTGCCAATTGATTTTCATTTCTGAAGCCAGCTGGAAGGCTTCCATAGCCCTTGTTAGCGCTTGGAAGGAGGAATCTGTTGCTCTGATTAAGACTGTCTAATCATCCGCGAACAGTAACGTTGTGGGGATTACCACCTTGTGTTCTTGCTGGTCCGGTGGTGCTGTTAATCTTTCTATTGACGGGTCTTTTCTCAGGAAGGAGGCTATTGCCTCCATTATGAAGAGAAAGATGGGAACAACTAAGGGTTCCCCTTGCCTAACCGACCTTGACATCGGATAGGTCGAAGATAAGTGACCGTTAATCTGTACTTGTCCTTGCGCATTGTTATATAAGACCCTGATCCACTTCCTAAAGTTCGACCCTACCCCCATCTTTTCCATGCACAATTGCAGGAAAGGCCAACTGACCTGGTCGTAAGCCTTTTCGAAGTCGAAAAAAAGAATGGCGGCATTGATTCTCTTGTCCCTTATATATCGGACCGATTCTGTTAGGCACATGACATTGTCCACGATAAACCTACCCGATATGAATCCTGTTTGATCTAGATGGAAGCAACCCCCTGTGATCTTGGATAAGCGATTAGCTAGCGCCGTGGCTACTATTTTGTGTGTGAGAGTCAATAAGGTTATTGGTCTATAATTTCGTATGTCCATTGGACTCCCTTTTTTGTAAAGCACCGTGACTATCCCCGTTGCGGGCTGGCTTCCTATACCCTCTACCTGCCATGCCTGTTCCAGAAAGGACAGGTACTCGCCCAAAATTGGCCAAAATTCTAGCCAGAATTCTCTAGTCAGGCCGTCTTTTCCCGGGGTTTTATTCGGGGTCATCGTTATTAGTGCCTCCCATAACTCCTCCTGTGTTAAGGGTTCGTCTAGCATGGCCGCGTGCTTTCGTGAAATTGTGTTCTGAAGGTAATTCAGAAACTTTGATCTCGCCTCCTCAACCCTAGACTTAGGGAACTGGTCTTCCACTGATGTATATAGTTTACTATAGGTGAGATTGTTCCTGCCCCTAGTCTTGATTGTTTGGAAGAAGAATTTGGTCATTCTCTCCCCTTCCTCCCATTCTTTGATTCTAGCTCTCATTCTTAAACCTTTCATTTTCCAGCGTTGCCATTCTGCCATCTCGCCTCTTGCTGCCTCTAATACTTTTTCATATATTTCATCTCCTGGCCGATAAATAGTATTGCGCTTTGCTATATCTATTGCTCACGTCAGTTCTTCCTCTCTTTCCTTCCTCTTCGTCGCCAGCCTCCTAGCCACTATTGCAGAAGCCTTAGACAATGATGTTAGCAGTTTTGGGAATGAATGTGTGTCCGGGTTGTGTTCTTGGCACACTTGTAAGACCGCCTGTCTCATTTCATTAGTTTTTAGGAGGGAGTTATTGATTTTGTAAAACCCGTTACCCCTGCTGATTTGCTTGTCTGATGTCAAACTCAATAGGATAGGTTTGTGGTCCAAACCCAAGCCGTACGGTAGGCTACCTATGATTACTGAATGCAACATGCCCGTTATGCCTGGTGATGTTAGGAAATAGTCTATCCTTGAAGCCGACACGTGCTGGCTACGGTTTCTCTTACGGTAGGTGAATTGTCTTTCATCCGGGAAGAGTAACCTAAAGGGGTCTAAGAGTTCTAAAATCGTCATTAGCCCATGAATCGGTAGCGATTCTTCTTTCCAACCCTCCTCCTCTGATCTAAAGCCTCCTGAAATTCTGCCTAGGCTAGGATCTAAGGTGGCATTCCAGTCCCCTACTAAGATCAGATGTCTATTCCCATACAGGAGTTCCTTGAGCCTTTCGATCATATCTATTCTTTGTTGATAACCGTTCGGACAGTAAATCGACAGTAGCGTGTAGGGTTCCTCATGCAGCTCCAAGTCGATCTTGACCCATCTGCCCTCCTCCTCATCCACCTTTGTTTCTGTGATGATAATCTTGTCTGCCGCTTTCGCCCTTTTGTTCTGTAGTATAACCACCCCCGTGGAATGGTTGCTTGCTGCTGGGGCCCACCATGCTGCTTTAATTCTTTGCAGTTTCTTCTCTATCTGGTACTTCGTTTTCTGGTGCCCTTCAGATTCTTGTAAGTGTGTTTCCTGCAAACACAAGAAATCCGGTGGAGAAGAAGTGAACCATTCTGAGTAATTTACTACATTTTGCCACTCGTCTCCATTCTCTAATATCCCAATCAGCCCATTCACATTCCATGACGATATTTTGAGTTCCGGTAGACCCGTTCCCCCCTTAATCCTTCTTCTCTGCTTTCTTGGTCTCTCTAACTCTCCTCTCTCCATTGGGTCTCCTTGTTAGAATGTGGACTTCTCTTCTATCTTTCCATTTTCAAGTGTCTAGAGGGGTGAGATCTATGGTGATTGCTACCTCAGTTACCCTTTTCTCGAAGAAGTTCGGCTTCCACCCCAACGCCTCCATCTTCACTGCCACCGCTGTGCATCTAGCCACCCATTCCGCCCCTACTTCCCCTCCCAGTAGTCCGTAGGGAATGGTTTCCACTACCTGCCAGGGCATCCAGATCAACCCCTCCCTTAATGTGGACTCTGCCCCATTTGGAATAGTATCGGTCCAAAGTCGACTGTTGCCTCCTCCTCTCTTTCTTCCCCAATTGTCATCGGTTCCTCTCCTCCCTCTCTCAGTATGAAGGCTCGAGCTGGCACCTTCGCACCTATTAATCTCTGCAGGTCCGAGCCTGAGCATTCCTCCATTGGGGCTGTTAACAACTGCAAAGACTGGTTAATTGCCACCTCCCAGTCTGAGTGTGTTGTGTTCCATCTACAAGGCAAGACCACTCTCCTCCTTGTCCCATTCTTGGCTTCAAGTCGAGCTGCTGCTTCTATTTCCTTCCATTGACCCTTTGCTATTTTTTGCACGTTCGTTGTGTCCTCTTCCAGTTCCCTGTTTTCATCCTTGAGAAGGATTACCTGTGCCACCAGAATTGCTGCTTGCCTTCTCAAGTCCTGCACTTCTTCCACTTCGCTCTCTCCATTCGCTCGGTCCTCATCCATTGCTGTATCCTCCACTGAGTCATTCTTCAGACCAGCAGAAACGCTTTGTTCCTCCATCGTCTGTGCCTTCCGTTTCTTACCATCCCTCTTCCTTTCCTTGCTGTGGTAGGTCTTTGGCCATTGGAAGTTTCTCCCATATTCTTCTTGCTGTTCGTGGATCTCATTCCTGATTGTGCGGGTTTTGCTTGTGTACTGAGAAGCACAGAACTCGTTGATTTCTCCTTCTCTCCTTAGCAGTTCAAATCTGTTTTCTGAAGTGAAGTCCTCCCCTGCTTGTGTGACTTGCTGAAGGTTTCTCAGGTGTTTGTGGTGGGCCAGTCTGATTTCACATTCGACCAATCTTCCCCATTCCAGCTGTTCGACCTCTTTTACCCATTGTTCCCTTGACCAGTCTTTCTCATCCAACTCGTCCTGCTCTTCCTCCTCCTCTTCTTCCTCCTCCTCTGATGAGGCTTCGTTCTCCGTGTCTCCTGAGCTCTCTCTCTGGTCTTCCTCTGCTTGCAATATCTGTTCCATTGTCATATTATCCACATTGAGCATGCCTCTCCTTCTCGCCCTTTCTCTTACTTTGTCCTCGTCCTCCAGTTCCTGGGACCCCTGGGAACCGCTTCTGTCCTCTTTGTGCTGTGACGAGCCTTCTGAGGGGTCCTTTTCCATCGAGACCACCTCTCTCCCACCTGCTTTGCCTGTCTCTTCGTCCTCTGCCCTGGTTCCTTTGGATGCCACCCCTAGTGAGCCTGTGTCAGTCTCATTCTCCTTCCCCCAACTCCCTGAAGCTTCCTTGCTGGTTCCGCCTTCCTCCTCTTTCTCCCTTGCGGTATCAGCCTCCCCTGATTGGGCCTTTTGTCTGCTTTTCCCGTGCTGCGAGCTTTCTCCTTGAGTGTTGGACCCATCCTCACCCCTTGAATCTCCCTTTCTCTTTGTGGAAGTGCTTCCTCCTTCAGTTCCACTTCTCCCTCCGTCCTCATAGTCCATGTTATCACCCTTACCCTCTTCTAAGTCCTTTGACCCCTCCTCGTGGCCTCTTATCTGCTCCTGTTGTTGTGCTCTGGCTTCAGCATTTTCCAAAAAGGCCAATTCTGCATTTCTCCCGACCTCGTGCAGTTCCTTCATGAGCTTCAGTCTTGGTTCGGCGTCCTGCATGACCGCATCGTCCAAGATGGACTTAACGATGTAGCCCGTTTCCTTGTCCTCCATTCTCTTGGCTCCCGTGTGTTGCCACCTACTATCATAGGGCGGGTAAATGTCTCGTTTGAGTGTTGGTTCCCTCTTCAAGACCGACACCCACCTTGGATTTTCCAGGTTGTCATCAAATATCCATCCCCTGTACTGGGATGAATTGATATACCAGACACCTGGTTTGTTCTCACATTCCTGGAGCATAAATTGTCTCAATGCCACCCGTTTTACTTCTGCTCCTCCTGAACCCCCTTGTGGACAAGAGGTACCTAGATGGCCTCTACCCCTGCATTTGAAGCAGAATGGGTTAGTCTTGGTGGAGATGAAGACTGTGATTCTCTGGCCACTTTTCTTGAAGATCCATTGGTCTGGGAGTTTCGGCGGTGCCCCTGACTTAACCTCCAAGCAAGCCACCCTTGCATCGTGGTTAGGTGCCAGAAAATCGGGATTGGTTGGGAGCCATTCTATGATCGGGTTGCTTGGGAATTCTTCGTCCAATCTTCTTTGTACGAAACTATGCATTCCCTCCGATAGATTGTCAAACTGTACCCATAAATGGTTCCTCAACATTGATTGCCTGTGTCTTGATGCCTCGGCCTGCGGTGGTCTTGGCGGCTTCCAAGGTTGGATTGTGACTACCGCTCCTTTGCACTTCAATGAGCCAATCGACATCAGGTACTGGGCGTAGGTAGGATCCACACAGACTATCATCACCGCATACCTTCCCCTCCTGTGGTACGAGACCTCTGGTTCCTTCCCTGGTACCTCCTCCATAGCTGTCAGCCTGTCCATCACCCACCTTCTCTTCTCGTTCAGTGGCAACTCTCTGCTTCTCCCCGAGAAGTTGAAGAGGACAGCATGCTTCTCGTACAGCTCATTCAGTGATTGGATGTCCTCTTCTGGGTATTCCCAAACTTCCACTTCTTCCTCCTTCCCCCCTTCCCCCTTGATTACCTCTTTCGTGATCTTGATCTCTGCTTTGATTTGTGTCTGCTCCAACAGGAAATCCATTGCCTTTTGCCCCAAAGATTGCGACTTGGTTTCACTTGTTCTTGACACTGTACCTGACTGAGAAGCTGTCTGACCTGCTTTGCTTGTTGTCGTACCCCCTTGCCTTAAAGCAAAGTCATGTTTCTCCTTCTCGCTCATTGCTTTTTGGGCAGCCATTGAGTACGATATCGCCATCTTGCGGAAGTGTCTGCTTTGGGTGAGTTGAGAGGTATTGTATGGTCTTTGGGAGTTAGTTGTCTGAGGAAATTTTGGTCTCGTTTGGCCTCCCCTCTTTGGAATTGCTTCGATATGGTGCTGAAGTCTGAGGGCCTTACATAACTAACAGCCGGCTACTGCTATCGCTTGCCGGACGTTGTGTTGGAGACTGGGCCGTCCCGGAGGATGAGTGCGTGCGCTGAAGGTGAGTATGCTGATGGAAGTGGACGGTTGAATTGGGAAGAAAGGATTGGTGGGGGATGGGTGGAACGATGAGTTGTGAGGACGGATTCGGCTCGGTCCTGATTTGGGAACAGGTGGGAGAGTTGAGATTGGGTGGACGGGATCTGGCCGGGTGGGCGAGTGTGGCGCAGTAAGGGGTGGGCTATGGGAGTGGAAGAACCGAGGTTGAGGTTATGGTTCGTAAGGGACAAGGGTTGGTTGGGGGTGGAAGGTGACAAATCGGTGTAGGATGGGATCGGATGTCGGGATGGAATAGGGGCCGAGATGAGACGAGGGTCCAGGTAGGCGAGAGAGGAGATTGATCGGGAATGTGGGGGGACTAATTTGTGCTTGGGGGGGATCTGGATCGGGATTGGGTGGAAGTCGATGTCGAGTGGGACTTGATCAGAGCGGGCTGTGTTCGGGGATGGGAGGGGGTCAAAGTCGGGAAGGAGGACGAAGCTGGGGTTGGGGTCTTGGTCGGGATGGAGGTGAGCCGGACTGAGGGGGAAAAGGTGAGTTTTATCGAGAACGGGAAGAAGGCGAGATCGGAATGGGGAGATGACTTAGGACGGGGTTGGGGATTGGGGCGAGGGTAGGTCGGAGGTTGAAATGGAGACGAAGTTGGTATGGTTAGGATCGGCGGGAGCTAGACACGAGATTGGGCCGGAGTCGAGGTCGGAATGGGAGAGAGAGAAAATTGGGCTTGGAAGGTAATCGAGGTCGGGATAGGGGTGGAGAGATTTGGGGGGAGATAGAGCTCGGAACTATCTGTGCTAGGGAGAGACGAAGTCAGGATGGGAGGTAGTGAAAATTGGGATTGTTGGGGAGATGAGATTGGGGGATGTGGGGGAGTCTGGATTGTGGTGGGGCAGGGTCGGAAAGGAGCGGGATTGGGAGGACCCGGGGGGTGAAGGTGTGGCTGGGAGTTGGGATGGTGTTCAAAGCTTCGGTGGGTTGAAAAGCGGAGAGAGGCGGGAGATGGGATCGGGAGGGGGACGAAGTCGGGAAGGGAGGGAGTGAACGTCGGGATTGGGCTGTCAGCGGTGGTGAGGGACCAGATCGGGATGTGAGGTAGTCGAAGTTGGGTTTTGGATAGAGATTGGACGAGAGGCGAGGACGGGGGTTGGGGGGGGAGACGAGATTGAGGTGGGTCGGATTCAGAGAACGGAGTAATTAGAAGATCGCCGGAGTCCGGACGGGGGGCAGGCAAAGCTGGGATAGGGGGGGGCTCGAGTAGTCAAAGGATGGGGCTGAGGGTGGAGGTGTGATGAGAATCGAGGGAGGATTAGTAGTTTTCACCAAATCGGAGCTTTGTCTTCGAAGCAGGCTCGGTTGTGGCGATTCCGGGGATTGACTGGATTAAACTTGGTCTCCTCAGGCAATGGCGAGTCCGGCTTCTTTGATGCCGATTGAAGTCGATTGAAGCTGATTGCGCAGTTGCTTGTCGATGGTCATGGTCTAAGAACTTTTGGCATCCGATGGTATGGGCGCGCGCCCGGGGCGTACGCCTTGACCTTTGGCTATGGCTTCCCGGATTTCAGGTCGCGTGGTTTTCCGCTCGCGGGCAGCATCAGTTCGGTTCCTATTCCTCTGGCAAGTCAGAAATACAACAAGAACAACCTCACGCTTCCTTCTGTTCGGCCGAAGGACCCCTGATCAGCATTGATTGCTCCAGATATCTGGAGGATTGACTGTCGGCATGCCTTCCCTCTACGTTTTCTCTCACATTTGTTTTTTCAAACGTGCCAAATTTAACGTGAAACCAAGAAAGACTTATGAGGTGTGGAAGCCAAAAACCCCTGAAACTTGTCGGGGATGTCCTGCTGGAGAGAGGATCTTGTAGGTTGTCGACTGTTTCTTTGCAGATCTCCTCCTCTCTGCCATGCTGTCGAATTTATGTGGCCTGTATTGGGTCCTGCGTGTCTGCTGATTGGGACCCCTACCTTCTAAGCCCCACTTCTGAATTGTGCCAGTCTTTCCACCATATGCAGGAAACATTTATGTCCGCTACCCTGCCTCCCACCAGCCATACCCTCGCAAATTTAGCTTTGATTTTCTGCTGCAGGTCCATATCATCCGGCATAGGATGCTTTGGGTCTTATCTACATCTGATGGTATCCGCCATCCTTGCACCCTATCCAAGCCATCATTGATGTGGGGTAGGGGCTTGGCATTATGCATGTTGATGGCACTGAGGCCCTTATAGTCAATGCACATCCTCAGGGTGCCTCTTTTCTTTGGTAGGAATAGAAGAGGGTTGTAAGGTGAAGTGCATGGTCATCCATCCCTTGTCAGTCAATCCCTTTAGTTGCATGCAAAGCTCATCTGACTCTGCTGGAAGCATCCTATAGATCCTGTCTTTGAGGGCTTTGATCTCTGGGAAAATGTCTATTCCGTGGACTATCTCCCTATCCACTACTCGGGGTGGTTCCTCTTGCAGGTCTGGATACTTAGCAACGACTCTTGCTTTCTGTGGAGGGGTTACTGCAATAACCCATGCCATATGTCTCGTGGAACTAAGGGTCAACAGAAGGCCTACTTGGCCGCCCTCAGCCCAGGCCGAACCAGGGCAGAAAAGGCCCTTCACAAATTCAGGGCCTGGGCGTGTGACAGTTGACTTTGGTCAACTGTCGGTCCACCCAACAGTCAAAGTCCAAAGGTACCTAGCCCCGGCCGCAGGTCAAGCACACACACTTGTTTGTACGCAGGTACCCAGACAGCATCAGGTCCAAGGGAGAAGTCTGCAACTGTACAATCCGGGCCTTCAGCTGTGAGTCAATCTGGACGACTGAGGGGAAATGCACCAAGGCCAGACAGCCTCGCTGACTACTACTTAAGGCTGGCCTCGAGGAAGTTAAGGCATTCAGTCTTGCTATGCTGCTTTGACGCTGGCTCGACTTTGGATAGACGCTGGCTACATGCTGGCTGTGCACAGGCGCTGCGGGCGACAGCACGAGCTGGAGGCAGCATGCTGGCGTTTTCTCAGTACGCCAGGCTATGCTGACGTGGCGCTACCTCTGGTCTACCTGGTATGCTGATGTGGCGCTGCCTCTGGTATATGTGGTGCTGCCTCTGGTCGACGTGGCATGCTGACGTGGCACAGCCTCTGGTATATGTGGCACTGCCTCTGGTCGACACGGCATGGTGATGTGGCGCTGCCTCTGGTATATGTGGCGCTGCCTCTAGTCTACGTGGCATGCTGATGTGGTGCTGCCTCTGGTTTACGTGGCGCTGCTACTGGTCTACATTGATGATGTGGCGAATGCCACCTGTTTAGATTGCTGATGTGGCATTGTCCATGCTGTCTACATGAGGTGACTGGTTGCGAGGAGGAGGAAGATCGGGATCTGTGGATGTAGGGAATCGGGTACTCACTTGAGGTTGACGTCGTCACTGGAAATCTGCTGTGTCTTCGGAGTCTTCATGAGATAAAGTTCCACGTGGCACTATTGTGTGTGATCAAGAATATACTTATTATCATTAAGGATGTGGTGTGGGAAGAAGCCCGGAGAAGGAGAGGGATCTGAAGGGTTTATTACTGTGTGATCTCTCTTCCTCTCCTTTGTCTATTCTCCCTCCACTCTCTTCTCTTTTGATAACGAGTTAC